TATTTTATTGTTTTTCAGTTCATTCATCTATTTACATTCACGAAATTAAAGTTAGCCATTTCATGCCAATTTTTTATAGCAAGTCTGAAGGTCTTGTGCAATGAATGGTCAAGGTCATAACTTAAACTAGTGTCAGCAAACTGTCAGGGCCTGTGTACCAAAAATAAAAGACAAGATGTATTGATCTATCTAAAAACACACTACAACAACTTTAACATTATCTGTCTACAAGACACACACTTTTATCAGGAGAAAGCGATAGAAACACTATGGGGGTCTAAATGTTTTTTAAAACTCCTTTCAATCAAATGCCCGTGAAGTAAGTATTGTGTTTAATAATAAAGACGATGGTATGGGAAATATGTTAGCTCTTGATATAACTATTGAAAAAAATAGAAATACTCTTGTAAATATATATGGCCCAAATAAGGATTGTCCTGATTTTTATGAAAATTTAAGAAACACTTCAAGATAATTTAACAATTCCCCATGTATTAATCTCATCAATCTTGTTCTGGATCCAAAATAAGACACACATATTTATGAAAACATTAACAATTCCAGAACTAGAGATAAAGTTGCTGACCCCATAGAAGAATTTCCTCTTGTCGATTGCTTTAGAATTACCCAGAATATAAATGTTATACTTGGAGAAAAAAAACCCTTTTAAACAAGACTTGACTTTCTTTTATCAGATAACCTTATGAATTTAGCAGAACAAACACACATGCATGCAGGATACAGAACAGATCATTCACTAATAACACTAGAACTAAAAATAAATAATTTTGAAAAAGGTTGTGGATTATGGAAATTCAATAATAGTCTTTTATACGACACTAAATATGTAAACAAGATAAAACAGAAAATTACTGACACTAAACTACAATACGCATCACCAAGGTACAACCAAAACAACACAAAAAAAGAAAGGTAACACTTCTTTATTCTGTGATTAATTAATTAACCCCTTCATAAATCCTTACCAATCATGTACGAATAAAGTAATTGATCAATTCTGATAAAACTGCAGTCATGGTTCATTATAAAACTTTGCGTTCAGTTGATTTTATTCCACTGTAAAAGACGTTAGGTCAATTTCAAAGGTAACACCATTAGTAATGGGTATGGCCACTGTTTGAGAAGTAAACAGCATTGCAGCATTGAAGCATAAAGGTGCATAACTCTTGCCAAGAAGGGTCACAGACAGCATATAGCAAATGTCATTTCTATAACTCAAAGCATAACCAAAGAAAGTCAAGAAAACAATATTCCAAGAGAATTTTCGAAGTTTAGAGGGGCATAACTCAGCCAAGAAGGGTCACAGACAGCCAGGAATCAAAATTTATCTGTACCCTTGCAACAAGAAGCCATATACCAAATTTCATTTCGCTAACTCAAAGCATAAGCCAAAAAAGTCTTAAAAACAATATTCCCAGGAAATTTTCTAAGTTGAAAGGGGCATAACTCTGCCAAAAAGGTTCACAGACAGCTGGGAAAAGAACTTCATCTGAACCCTTGCATCATAAAGCCATATACCAAATTTCATTTTGATAACTCAAAGCATTACCGAAAAAAGTCCAGAAAACTTTCCCATGGACAACAATGACGCAGTCGACGCCGCGTGACGGCAGACAAAGTGATCCCTAAGTGTCCGCCTACTCTGCAGGTGACACAAAAACTATATAAATTAAACTATTTACAAACTTGAAAAAAATAATAGGGAACTTATCACTAGTCAGGAGGAAATATTGAAGGAAATTGAATTATTTTATAAAGATCTATACTCCAAACACTCTGAAAATACTGAGGATGTAGACTTGGAAGAATTTCTTAAAGGTCATGAATTTTAACATACTCAGTGATTGTCAAACAAATAACATTGAAGGAGATTTGAAAGAAAATGAAGTACTATTAGCTCTAAAAAATATGAAAAATAAATCTCCAGGATCAGATGGATATACTTCCGAATTTTTAAAAAAATTTTGGCAAGACCTAAAACATTTTATTATAAGATCTCTTATTTCATTTTAATGGCTCAAAATCTTCATTCATAGAGGCTATAAACATGTTCGACAAATATGCTAAATTATCTGGGCTGAAAGTAAATACTGAAAAAACAAATGTTATTTGGATAGGGAGTAAAAAATTTAGTGCTGATGTATACCATCATAGATGGCAACTGAAATGGGAAACAACCAGATTTACTTTACTTGGAATAGATTTTTCTGTCAATTTGGAAGACATAGTTCATTTAAATTTCAATAAAACAATTAGCGCTATTGATAGCAAACTACAACAATGGTCGAAAAGAATTTTAACACCTATTGGGAGAATAACTGTTTTTAAATCACTTATCATTGCAAAAAAATCCCCATTTGTTTATATCTCTACCTTCTCCAAGTAAAGAGTTCATACAATCTCTGAACAAAAAATTCTTTAATTTCATTCGGCAATCTCCAATTGATCGAATAAAACACTCAACAATTATTCAAGATTTACAGAATTTTATATATGGCCCGAAAACTACTTGGATTAGGAGATTACTCCTTTCCAAAGATAGTGAATGGTCGAACTTGTTGGAAGAAACTTGTGAACTCAAAAAAAAAAAAAAAAATAGCAAAATTTGGAATTGTATACATTAAAAATATTCAGACACAAAACATGTTCTGGAGAGATGTTTTTGAAGCATGGATAAAAGTCTCAGAAATGATAAATATTAAAAGTTTTGATGATCTTTAAAAATTGTCAATTTGATACAATTAAAATTTTAAGATTGGTGAGAATTCTGTAATTTTTTATGACTTATTTACAAAATGTAGTTTTTGTTGGAGATTTAGTTCAAGAGGAGGTGGATTTTTAAGCTATGGTGACTTTAAAAAGAAATATAACTACTGGAAACTTTCTACATTATATAAGTATTTGTGAATCAATCAAAACATTTATGGGAGATAATGATATAAAAGCACATAATTTATCTATTCAAAAACTTTTTATACCTCTCCACATTAATGTGATATTAAAAAATAAACAAGAGTACCGCAGAGTAGAACAATATACGCCTGTCCCAAGTCATTTAAGAATAACTCAGAAACTATGCATGCGGGGCGGGCTATTTTTATACGCGACACTCCAGTGTCTCTAGACATACATGTGTACAAATTATGGTGACCAGAGAGCAAGGAGTCACAAAAATATGGCCCGGAAAAGGGAAGTTTATGAAAAATCAACTAAGGGGGAATAACTCAGAAACTATGAATGCAAGGCGGCAATGTTTATACATGACACTCTTGTCACCTTGAGATATATATGTCTACAAAGTATGGTGACAATAGACCAAGGATTCACAAAGTTATGGCCCGGACAATGAAAGTTTACGACGGACGGAGGGAGGGACGGACGGACAGACAATGCCATACCATAATATGTCTCGTCACATGACGGGCATATAAAAATGGATAACCGACTTGGAACTAATCAAAACGGAAATGGATATCTGGCCTTTCGTGTTGAACTCTCATATGGGATGTCAAAAATATCAATGTACAGTACCCCCATTAACACACATATTAGATCTTACAAGTATTATACAACATACTGGAACAGATATGGGTAGTAATCAATTTCATTCAGGTTTACAATGAATATTACCTTCAGAAAACTACAACACTAACAGAAATATGTCAACATATGTAACAAACATACTGACAAAGTATCTTTTCTTCACATCAGTCTAATGCACATCCTACTCGATTTGATAATTTCTGGAACAAATCTAGATCACTCATATGCTCTTGACAAATAGAGAAACCAAGGTGTAAAACAAGCACTTGCCTTAAAGGAGTACATGCACCTTATTAATATATAATGTGTGAACAGTGCATATTTTGGTGTGTGGATCTGTGGTTGTGTGAACAAGTGTAGGCCACTGTATATGCTGTTAATCCATACCTGTGTTAAGAGAAAATAGCATCAGTGAGTATTCTATACACCGAGTGTTGGTAGTTGTGTGTCTAGTGATGGCTAGGTCTGTATATAGTATTTGTATCTATTGTATTTATCAACAGTGATTATATATGGTTATTATTTACGTAACTACATAGCAAAATATTTGAAGGATGAATGTGTGAAGCGGTGTGTGAGAGCCCCCCTGTGAGGGGACACAATTTGTTTATGAAGGCTGACCGGAAAGCCCTAACGGACCTTGGCAGTCTGCCAATATAATCAGGGGCGGATACAGGAATTTAAGTTAGGGGGGCGTTATAATTAACTTACTTAACTCTTTCTGTCGTTATGTGATCAACTATAATAAAGTTACTGTATACTTGAAAATTAGCCCAACTTAAGTCATCTATAGCTGTTTAGAACAGTGATAGTCATAACATACGACCAAGACCATCCAGTATACTTCGTAACTCACCCTTACTCTGCCAATTTTCTGCGCCCCACACGCCCCCCTAAATCCGCCCCTGATAATCATGAATGTTTTGTGACAAAAAAAAAGTCTGATGGCGTTGATGATTATGATGATGATGAATGTATTATGTTGATAATGGTGATGATGATGAATGGATGACATTGTTATGACACTGATGATCAAGTCTGATGTTCTTGTATCATAAAGTACTAAGTATGATGGTGATGATGATGATGGTTGGATGATTGCAGTGATGATGAGGATGATGAATGCAGCAGCATTGTATATCTGTAATGATTTTCTTGTAATTGTTTAACTGTCTACAATGTATTGGAAAAGACTAAATTTCAAAACAAAAAATAATCCGAACAGGCTATGGTTGACAGAGTGAACTTATCAGCTTAAGATCTTTGCTAATATGGGAGACTATGTTTATCTGCACACCACACAGACAGGAAAAGGCCAGAAACTTCAGCCTCTCTATAATGTTGTTATGGACCAAGTGTGTTCTGATCAGGTAATGCTCAGTGACCCTACTTCCGGGGAATGACAACCACAGCTTATTCATGTAAACCGTCTGAAGATGGCATACGTCCGTCAGCCATCTCCTCGTCCCTACCTCACAAGTTCTATCACCACACGAAAGGACACGCCCAGTGTCAATTGCGGTGTTCATACAGAAAATCCTTCTCTTCACAATGATACAACCCTTCAAAAGGAACCTCAACCAAATAGGGCACCTGTACAAGTACGTCCCAAACGAACCTGTGGGAAACCTGTCCGCTATCAGGACATGGAATCCAAAGATATGAGGGTAGATTCTGACAGTGCACCAAACTGCAAAGTTAAACGTGTTGTAGGCCAAAAGGGATCAGGATCTTCATTAAAGTAGTTATTACAATTTGCTGGCAAAACTGCACAGAATGGAGTATGGATTGATGCCTGTGTTTTAAACCAAGGATATGTGTCGAGCTGTTAAGGCACACCCACCCCTATCCTGGAATACTAGTGTACTTGTATTAAAAATGAACTAAAATTGACAGCTCAATATATTTCAATTCAGCTTTTCAACTTTTATGTCTTAGTTTGTCAGAGTACATGTCCATTAAAGAGTTTGTAATGTTGATAAACAGAAATATTTGGATAGTTGATTAGAATGATTAAAGAATTGAACAGTTCGGACAATGATAAGGCCATGAACTTGTTCTGTTTCCTATATTTGTTCAATCAAATTCCTTTCTAGTCCAATTGTTAATGACTGTAGTAGTCTGTTCTTGACAATTCTTATATTAAATTTTATGTTCTGATTATGTGCCAAGACATGTTTATGGAGTTGTCTCCCTTGGTAATTGACGAGATTGCTGATAGAATTTACCTTATTGTTTCAAAGTGACTGTGTTATAATTATGAAGAAAACATCATCTATATTGACATATATTTCATTAAATACCAGGTCTGATTCAATTAATTAAAGTCCTGTAACAATTATGAGATTATGATTCATAGAAAAATGTTACAAATTAGAATGTTAAATTGGTGATTTAGCCATGTTTGTAATGGATACACTATAAAGTTAGCGTGTGTACTATATAGTAACATGGATAAGAGTATTTCTGATAGTTGTGTCTGAAAGGCATAGTACAAACCGATGTAGGAGTTGGTTCTACTGTTAGACGGCAGTTTTGGTATTTTCATACGTTCCAGCCAATCAGAGCCAAGGATTGACTGCGACATATACCTGTAGAAACTGACCCTCATGCTGAAGATAGGTCTTTGTGGTGATGATGATTTCATAAGATGACGTAACTAAAGCATCGATTGCTCATGATAGGTCAGGTAACGACCTCCTGTGCGCCAACCAGTCATTCCATATCGAAACACACCACATAGTGTTAGTCCTAGCTTTTTTTCGGAATCCTTTCCGTATGCTTCTTTGCGACATCGTCTGATGTAAGAGCGGGGCCAGACCTTGTAGAATTTTGTTTTGTTTCATTTCCAATGCCGATAAAGACTGTGTCGGAACAGAATATTCCAACTGTGTCAAAGAAATGTCTTCACATTCGTTTTTTCAGCCTCTTTCAATCAACGCATTGCCTTACATCGGTTAACCAATCATGTGCAAGTATATCCTTAATTGGACCATAATTGACTCCGCCTTGTACCACTCAGTCATAGCACCGAAGAAGAATCAAAGGTTAAATGCATGTAGCCGGCTAAATCGGTTAGATTTATTATGTGAAACTGAAGATTTCACTTAATAAAATCTCACATTTACATTGATCTGTCAGAATACAAATTAATGTGATGTTTTTCAGTTAATCCTGTTTGTAGTACATTACTGTGCATACATATATAATGCCTTGGTGCAAAATTTAATGGCAATGAAATCACTGTCTATGAATCTACCAGTATATTTCATATTGTATGTAAAGTCAATGTATAAATGCTTCAATTTCTTTCAATTTGTAATGGATGGTTTTACTGATTTAACCAAACTGATAATTGTGAATTGATATTTTATTTCCATAACATAAGGGAATCTCAGTGAATCAGATTATTTTCTATGTTTCTTTACAGTCCGTATCAGTGTGGTAGTTTGCTGACCAAAATTTAAATACATAGATTTTGTTTGAGCGGGGGGATGTAATGTATTATTATCAGACTGATGTTTTGCATATTGGTTTCGACTATTTCGACTGTTAGATGTTGCTGCATCCCCACAGCAACAGCAACACACTCCCAACCCAGGGCGCAGAGACCTTCCGTCTAGCCTGTTAGATGTTGCTGCATCCCCACAGCAACACACTCCCACCCCAGGGTGCAGAGACCTTCCGTCTAGCCTGTTAGATGTTGCTGCATCCCCACAGCAACACACTCCCACCCCGGGGCGCAGAGACCTTCCGTCTAGCCTGTTAGATGTTGCTGCACCCCCACAGCAACACACTCCCACCCTGGGACGCAGAGACCTTCCGTCTAGCCTGTTAGATGTTGCTGCATCCCCACAGCAACACACTCCCACCCCAGGGCGCAGAGACCTTCCGTCTAGCCTGTTAGATGTTGCTGCATCCCCACAGCAACACACTCCCACCCCAGGGCGCAGAGACCTTCCGTCTAGCCTGTTAGATGTTGCTGCATCCCCACAGCAACACACTCCCACCCCAGGGCGCAGAGACCTTCCGTTTAGCCTGTTAGATGTTGCTGCATCCCCACAGCAACACACTCCCACCCCAGGGCGCAGAGACCTTCCGTCTAGCCTGTTAGATGTTGCTGCATCCCCACAGCAACACACTCCCACCCCAGGGCGCAGAGACCTTCCGTCTAGCCTGTTAGATGTTGCTGCATCCCCACAGCAACACACTCCCACCCCAGGGCGCAGAGACCTTCCGTCTAGCCTGTTAGATGTTGCTGCATCCCCACAGCAACACACTCCCACCCCAGGGCGCAGAGACCTTCCGTCTAGCCTGTTAGATGTTGCTGCATCCCCACAGCAACACACTCCCACCCCAGGGCGCAGAGACCTTCCGTCTAGCCTGTTAGATGTTGCTGCATCCCCACAGCAACACACTCCCACCCCAGGGCGCAGAGACCTTCCGTCTAGCCTGTTAGATGTTGCTGCATCCCCACAGCAACACACTCCCACCCCAGGGCGCAGAGACCTTCCGTCTAGCCTGTTAGATGTTGCTGCATCCCCACAGCAACACACTCCCACCCCAGGGCGCAGAGACCTTCCGTCTAGCCTGTTAGATGTTGCTGCATCCCCACAGCAACACACTCCCACCCCAGGGCGCAGAGACCTTCCGTCTAGCCTGTTAGATGTTGCTGCATCCCCACAGCAACACACTCCCACCCCAGGGCGCAGAGACCTTCCGTCTAGCCTGTTAGATGTTGCTGCATCCCCACAGCAACACACTCCCACCCCAGGGCGCAGAGACCTTCCGTCTAGCCTGTTAGATGTTGCTGCATCCCCACAGCAACACACTCCCACCCCAAGGGCAGAGACCTTCCGTCTAGCCTGTTAGATGTTGCTGCATCCCCACAGCAACACACTCCCACCCCAGGGCGCAGAGACCTTCCGTCTAGCCTGTTAGATGTTGCTGCATCCCCACAGCAACACACTCCCACCCCAGGGCGCAGAGACCTTCCGTCTAGCCTGTTAGATGTTGCTGCATCCCCACAGCAATACACTCCCACCCCAGGACGCAGAGACCTTCCGTCTATACACATGTTAGTCTCTGTTAAAACTGGAATCAATAATGATCACGCCCATAAACCTAAATATAGGACTGGGGGCTATCCTTACCCCTTAGGACTATCAGTCTCTTGTTATAATAGAAAGCAGTAACGATTCTGCCCGTAAACCTATATATATAGGATTGGGGGCTATCCTTACCCCTTAGGACTATTAATCTCTTGTAATAATTTAAAGTAGTAATTATCCCGTCCATACACCTATATATAGGACAGGGGCTATCCTTACTCCTTAGGACTATTAGTCTCTTGTGATAGTAGAAATCCGTTATGATCAAGCCCATCAGCCTATATATATGACTGGGGGATTACTTTACCCCTGAGGACTATTAGTTTTGTTTTAACAGAAAGCAGTAATGATTCCGCCCATCAGCCTATATATATGACTGGGGGATTACCTTACTCCTGAGGACTATTAGTTTTGTTTTAACAGAAAGCAGTAATGATTCCGCCCATCAGCCTATATATATGACTGGGGGATTACCTTACCCCTGAGGACTATTAGTTTTGTTTTAACAGAAAGCAGTAATGATCCCGCCCATAAACCTACATATACGACTATAGATGTATTCCAGATTAGGATATGACAGCTCATCTATCAAATAGCCCAATCCATCGATTAATTCCAAATAACAGTAAACTAGAGGTGAAAAACAAAATCTTAAATGTGTTAGGATGATCATATATACATGTAAATGCATGCCAAAGTTTGGTTATGAGAGTCTTAAAAAAGAAATAAAGTTCCGCATCGAGTTACACGGAAACCCTATTGATTAGCTAAATGCATTGACAAAGTCCAATTCACAGTGAACTTTAAGCGAATTTTTTTAACCTGAAATGTTTGTTTGGATTGTTGTATACCGATATAAGTACACTGTATGTGGACTTAGTGAGAAATCAAACTGAATATGGAGATAAATTCAAAACATAGCGCAATTAAATAACAAAGTCAAATTAATTGTCAACATTACGTTAAAATCTTAGTGTAAAACATGTACGAAGATGTTCCTTATTAAATATAACGATTACACGGGTATGGTGATTACAACTCTTGTGATTTAATTGAATAAGTATTGAATTTTTAAAAAATGCTGACGCCGCCACTGCTGTTTTCATGAAACGTATTTCAAATATTTCTGATAGTTTTCACGTTTTACACCCATGGGCAACATCTTTTACACAAAACTGATTGATTGATTTGTGGAAGACATGTTTTATTAATGAATGAAACGTAATGAAATAAATGGTCAGCTCCCGCTTAGTCACTCACTTGCATATTAAATAGCTTAGGATTTTTCTAATGATCTAATTTTTCTATAAGAGTTACTTCCCTTACATCGCGTCTAGGTTCCAATTCTTGTGTAGAGAGATAGGCGGACTAAAAAAATGAAATATATCACCCGCTCCTGCAGTTGGCCATAAATTGAAATGGATTTTGGAAGAAACTTTGTTGAGTACTTGAAACTCTAAAAACCAGAAAATTTATGACATTTGTATCAAAGATTGGCTAAGTCACCATTACATTAAATGGCCATTTCAATTTTTTTGTTATTATCGTTTCTTTTTAATTAGATATGGAATATTTTGATCAGCTGTTGGAAACGAGGACAAAACATCTGCACTATAAATCCAGAATAAGGATAGGAGGGTAGGATTTTAAGCATTTACTCTCTTTCCCATATTGTGTCCAGCTCCTCTCTCCCCAGGAGGCCGAGACTTACGTCTATACACTTAGGGATCTTATAACAGGAATCAATAATGATCACGCCCATAAAGCTAAATGTATAGGACTAGGTTCCACATTCTTGTATAACAGAAAGATAAGGCGGTAAACCTATATATATAGGACTGGGGGCTATCCTTACCCCTTAGGACTATTCGTTTTGTTATAACAGAAAGCAGAAATTATCCCGTCCATTCACCTTTATAGGACTGGGGGCTTCATACATCTTGGGACCAAAAGGTTTCTTTGTTATACCAGAAAACAGAAATCTCTCTCCCAAACTATTTTCATGGTTTCACAATGTTTTAATTTAAACTACCACATGACTATGGCGAGACTCTTTAGCTGTAAGAACTCACAAATGTTCTCTTATTCCCGTGAAAAGAACGAGATATCGACACTACAAGAGTACAGTAAGATTTGTATGGCTACACCGGGTCACACAAAAGGAAAGCTTGTACAGTTTCTCGTGTGTATACGCTATAACACAACATCTAAAAGGAATTATTATTTCTTCAAGTTTTACACTTAGTACATAAATATGTGTGAGAAAAATGTCACTTACTTGTCAGTTTCGCAGCAGGTGTTTTCTGAATTCTTAATAGTCCAAGTTCATAGGTTGTCCCTTTTCCTTAACGTTTTCATTGGTCAATACAATCTTGAGACGCAAAATTCTTGCACGTGCCTGACGCATAGCTCAGGTGCACACTGTGTTACTGAAACAATAAAGCGCCCCAGGAAAGCCTGGTTCTTAAAAGTATCTAAAAACACACATTGGACGAAAAGATGAAAATTTCTAGAGTTTGATGATTATATTGATATTTTTTGTTTTGTATTTATTGGGATTAATGTTGAGATGGGGATGGGAAAGGGGTCGACTGTAAACCCGGCCCGCTTAATTACAAACTATATATAGGCACACAGGAAATTAAGATATGTATCCACATTTTAATTTGTCAGCTTAAAAAAGAACAGAAGTTTCAAAATATATTTTATATATCTACGGTACTCTGTATCTTCTATTCACATTAGAGACATTCTTCTAGCCTCACGTGTTTGTTGTATATTCAATGAAATTTGACATATTGATGACACATTTATAATAAATTGAACTTCAGTTAAAAAGTCAAGAACACCGCAAACGGACGTCCGACAACCGTCTGACCAAGGACGTGTAACATATCTGTCACTGATCTGACCCAGGCTGATTTTTTCCTCTTCTAATAGGCAGGTTCTGTTGGACAGAATTGCTTGAAATGTTGTTTTGTTTTCTTCCTCCAAACATTTCATTTCTCATATCCTTAAATTTATACTGTCACTCTTAATCAGATCCCTTAAATCTTCAACCTATATATAGGAATGGAAGCTATCCTTACCCCTTAGGACTATAAGTCGTGTTATAATAGAAAGCAGAAATTATCCCGCCCATTAACCTAATGTGAACATAAATAATCATGGATATTTATAGATTATCAATTGATTAAACAATGCCAATAGTATAAGCTTACACTGTTAACTTTAGAAACCACTATTGTTAATGTCCGTTGCATTCTGTGTCATGGTTTATTTTCTCCGTTCGCTTCGTTGCCTTCTGAATTCACATGAAAAAAATATGAAATCTATTTTTCAACTTTCTATTTACTCTTTTATGGAATTGAGTTATAAACCCTGTGACTTTTATCTGAGTATGTGTATGAATCTGCCTGTAACCAGATTCTCCCTAGTATTATTAACTTTAATTCAACTTATGTTTTCAATGAAAAGGTAACACGCTTACCAGAGTCGCGCGTTCACACTGTTGTTGTAAAATGATTACCAAATAAAGTGCGACAAAAATTCTGGTTTAACTACAAAATTTGCTTTTATGACTTAAACGAAACTTAAAATCAATAAATAAAATGTTATATACATGTATGTCACTCGTTCAAATTACGTATTTTGGTGGTTCAGATCTTCTATTTGAACAGTTTTGTTTATATTTATCAATGGTACGGTATCACTGGGGTTATTTGGGTGCTCGAATTCACAGGTGTGTAGTTTTGGGCGGGGAACGGACGTACACGACGTGTGACGGGTAGCACGTGAATTCCTTGGGGACAGGGCGGACCAATACAGGGTGTATAGTTTGTAGCTCATTCGAGCTTTTGCAGCCATACAGTGCGCTCGTGGTTTATACTACGGAAACGTGTGTAACTAGAGGTCGTAAAAACAGAAGATGTACAGCATAAATTATTGAAGATACACGATCCAATGGTACCTTTGTGTAATACTAATTATATAGAACTTTATTCCATCTTCATGTCATTGTCGAGCATTTCTATAAGTTAAATCAGACGGGGTTCAAAATTGACTAATATTGGTATATTTAACGATGTTAAATAAAAATAACACAATGATATCAGGAATGCTCTATCATACATCCCACATTATATCGAACAATATCAAAACAACACAATAGTATCGTGGACGACCGATCATACGTCCCACATGATATCTAAACATATCAAAATAACACATAATATCATGGACACCCGATCATACATCACAGATGATATCTAACAATATCAAAATAACACATAATATTATGGACGCCATATCATACGTCACAGATGAGATATCACAATATCAAAATAACACATAATATCATGGACACCCGATCATACGTACCAGATGAGATATCACAATATCAAAATAACACATAATATCAGGGACACCCTATCATACGTCACAGATGAGATATCACAATATCAAAATAACTCATAATATCAGGGACACCCTATCATACGTACCAGATGATATATCACAATATCAAAATAATACATAGCATGGACACCCGGTGTCATATCATATTTGTATCCCCATCCTAAAGTACCCGGGAATACTTTTTTGTCCACCAGAAATGTATTCCCCATATAATGGGAGGGGATACATCCATGACGGTTATCAGAATAGTATCTAGAGAACAATTATCTGAAATTAGGAAGGAGATACATTTCTTGAAGTCATTAGAATAGTATATAGGAGGTATTTTATTCTGAAATACTATGG